AAATTCAAACAAAAGATCTCTGCAAAGGCACAAAGACTGCGAAGATACACAGAACGGCAACAACAGTATTCCGAAAATATGAGGTTTGAAACGGATACTAAGGGTTTCTATAGAAATCTAACACAAGAAAAAATAGAAGCTGAGACAGCTTCCATCAGAGGACCGTGTCCAGCATTTTTGGAAAGCTCTGTGGGAACAGCAACCATCACATTACGAACAGCAGAATGGATAGGCAGGTTTGAAAGCGAAAACAACTACAGCATGACATGGTGCGAAATAGACCAATAGAAAGTCACAGAAGGTTTTTGATCAGCTGCCAACTGGAAAGCTCCTCGTCATGATATGGTGCCCAATTTTGGTACAAATCCCTGAAAGCAACGCATCGACATTTAGCTCGCCTATACAATGAAGTAATCAACTCAGAATACTTTCCTAGCTGGCTAGCCACAGGAAAAACCACTCTGATACCCAAATACCAAGACACAGCTGTGGAAAGAAACTATAGACCGATAACATGCCTACCATCAATCTATAAGAATTTTACTTCAATTCTCTACCAAAGAATCTATGCCCACATCGAGCAGAACAACATTCTGCGCCGGAACAGAAGGGATGCTGTAAAGGATCCAAGGGATGTAAAGACTCATGCTTTCGAAGTATATCTTAGACGACTGCAGAAGACGTAAACGAAATCTAACTTTAGCCTGGATTGACTACAAGAAAGCTTTTGATTCAGTTCCCCACCCCTGGATTCTAAAAAGTCTGCAACTTGTCGGTGTGAACGACAAAATCATTGAGCTTTGCAAACGAATGATGATTTCTTGGAGTACCACGGTTCATCTAAAAGGTCAAAATACTGAGATCGTCACATCAAAATTAATATCAGAAGAGGCATCTTCCAAGGGGACGCCCTGTCACCTCTTCTTTCTGTATCTCACTCATTCCTTTGTCTGCTGAACTGAATAGAATGAGAGCTGGCTACATTTAAATGGTTCCAAAGTCAACCACCTTCTCTATATGGATGATCTGAAACTGATTGGAAAAAATGAGACAGATCTAGAAGAACAAATCAACACAGTTAGAAGATTCAGCGATGTTATCCATATGGAGTTTGGGCTGGATAAGTGCGCGCAGGGCTATATTGCAGAAAAGGAAAGCTGCAAAGGAAGACTACATGGAAGAGACACAGTTCTATCAAATTGAAGATGCTGATACTTATACATATTTAGGTATTGACGAAGGAGAACGGATAAATCATAACTTAATCAAACAGAAGGTCAAGAAGGAATACGTTAGAAGACTCAGGCTGCTGCTCAATAGTCATCTGTACAGCAGAAATAAGATCCGCGCGCTAGGTCAATTTGCATTGCCAGTCCTTGTTTAGTAGTTTTGGCGTAATCGATTGGCAATTGGAAGAAATAAAAGCAATCGACCGAAAAACGCGTAAACTGCTAACATTATATGGCATGCTACATCCTCGCGCCGACACCGACAGGCTTTACGTTTCCAGGAAAGAGGGAGGCAGGGGACTGCAGCAAGTGGAGGCAGCCTACAAGTCAGCAATACTCAGTATAAGCGACTACTGTGAAAACAGCCCAGACAGAATGATGATGATACGATGTCCTCTCTGCCAGTAACTAAGTCCCTTATACAAACTGCAACAAAATTCCGTCGCCATTTATCTATACGGGAATCCTTAGGACCATACTTGCAGAAAAGAAAGGTGACCTACAAATATGTATCCAGTCGGTACTGAGGGAGAAATGGCAAGGAAAGGCCCTGCATGGACAATATGTTACCCCGAGTACTTCAAAACCATAACCTCAGCAAAGACCACACAGTGAGCTGGCTCACAAGAGCAAACGTAAAGGGTGAAACAGAAAGTCTCATAACAGCGGCACAAGGTCAAGCCTTAAATACTAACTACCATTCGAACCGGATACTGGGAAGAACAACGATCCCAAATGTAGGATATGCAAAGAGAACGATAAAACCATATCTCACATAATGTCTTCATGCCCTATCCTCGCTCAGCGCGAATACGTTACACGACACGACAGAGTTGCCAAGATCTTGCACCACTCAATCTGCAAAGATTTCGATATTGACGTTAAACAGCGTGGTATGATCATAACCACAGCAGGTTGTAACTGCAACTAATGTCACCATTCTTTGGAATCAGCCTATAACAACAGACCGAACAATTGTTGCCAATAAACCGGACATCGTTATCAAAGACCATAAAAGTAAGTTATGCACTATGATGTTGCAGTACCATCAGATTACAACGTGAAAGACAAGAAGCTGAAAAGTTTCTAAAGTACCGGGATTTGTCTATTGAGATAAACAGAATGTGGCGAATGCGTACGCACATAGTACCAATTATAATAGGTTCCACAGGTGCCGTGTCTAAGAATTTTGACGCATATGTCCAGTCTCAGATACCTTAAACCCTTACCAACTTCAAACTGTAGCCATATTCTGGTACAGCCCACATTATTAGAAAGGTCATAATGTAACGTCTAACCTAAGGGGTAAGGCATACCCCCGGTTTGACGAAGAAAGTAATCCAGCACCAACAATCAAGAGCTGAGAAAGTTAAAAGAAATAATAATAATAATTATAATACTAATAATAATAATAATAATAATAATAATAATAATAATAATAATAATAATAATAATTATAATATTAATCATATAATTATAATAATAATAATAACTCCACAGAAATCAACCCCTCTTCCGGAGCAAGAAGTCAAGCATTAGCTCCAAGTGTGGAGCGGGCAGCGGCACAAAGAACATCATTGTGCATAATTCTGGCGAACGGGGCTCTGGTAAGATATAACCACGATGTCAGGTAAAACTACGAAGTAGATACCCCAGGTAGGTAGAGCCGCTAGCTCAGAATCCTACACTGCACTTGCAGTCAGTCCGCGGATTCTGGGGGGGACACCTCGACATTAGGAGCTACAAACGTCCCAGCAAGGACAGCGTGTTGTAATGGAAATCAGCAACCACCAAATCAACGGCTAAGGGGCTCGCGGAACATTAGCCTGCGAAACCTTACTCAGAACTACCTCCAGCACAAGACCTGCATCCCACAGATTCAGCTCAAAGGGACAGTCTTGAAGCACGACCTGATCAGATGAATAATCTTAGAAGACGAAGATGGTCAAAGGAGGAGAACTATGAAGTGATGTGGGCATACTACAGTGCGATTGCAAGTAAAATCGCAGCTCCAAAAACAAGAGGCACCTTCGAGATCTGGAGAAATCGTAATCCAAATATTATGCCAGAAATGAATGCACAAAAACTGTCAAACTAGCGACGTGTAATAGAAAGGAATTTAACGGAAGCAGAACGACAGGAAATAAAATTCGGTGTGTATTCGTACCTTCACCAGCAAGAAAATGAACCTACACTGCCACCTGCTACCGTAGAGAGTAATAAAGGAGAGCTAGCTGAGAATAACAACACTCTATAGCGACTAAGAACGAAGAATTATCTGAGAATAACGATGCCAAGTGGCATGCTCAGGGTGAGGCAGTTGAACTGGAAAACAGATTCTTGAAAAATATCATGATGTGCAGGCTACTCGGATTGAACACCGTAAAGGGATAAAAAAACCAAAGTATGGTAAACACCTGACCGAAGATATTAGAAAAGCGAATAGAGCACTAGCTAAAATCTGCAGAGATAGACGTTAACAATAACTGATCTCAATCATCTAATATATGCTTCTGCAGCTATAATAGCGGGAGAGGAAGAGAATAACAACAGCCCTAGGACTAAAGAAGGACCTGAAGGCCCCCGATGGAAGATGCGCCTAAAGAACAAAATTTCGCAAATTCGCCAAGAAATATCCATTTTAAGCGAAATAAATAAGGGGGTAGTTTTCAGTCATGTTTTAAATAAAGCTGACCGAATAAGGGCTAAGTATAGCCATTCATCGCTTGGTGACCTAATAAACACACAAAATGAAGCTGCAAGCGAAGGCTCAGAGATTGCGGCGATATACAAGACGTGTCGATCAGTACAAACAGAATAGGCTATTCCAAGCAAATCCCAAGAAATTTTACAGGAGTCTAAAGGAAGAAGTACAGTACAAGAACCACCATCAAAAGAAGATGTCGACTCATTTTGGAGAGACATATTAGAGCAGGAGATACCTCACAACAAAAAAGCTGCCTGGATTGAGCAAGAAAGGCGAAACAACAGCCAAATTGTCACCTCTCAATGGCATGACTATACCGAAGACGAAGTTAAGGAAGTCATTAGGTGTTTGCAAAATTGGAAAGCACCAGGGCCAGATAAGATCTGTAACTTCTGGATAAAATCCTTCAATGCACTCCACTGTCTCTGGCTGTTGCTATGAGCAATTTGACCAAACCCTAACAACACTCCGCAATGGTTGACAACTGGTATCACATATTTGCTGTACAAAGGCAAAAATTCTAAAGAGGCAAAAAATTATCGTCCAATTACCTGCTTACCCACACTGTATAAGGTTCTTACTTCACTTATTTCTAATAGACTATATGACCATCTGTCCTCTAACAACATTCTACCGTCAGAACAAAAAGGCTGCCGTCGATCAACTCAAGGCTGCAAGGATCAGTTACTCATAGACAAAATGTTAGTTGAAGATGCCAAGAAGAGAAAACGAAATCTAAGCATGGCCTGGATAGACTACGCCAAGGCATTCGACAGTATACCTCATAGTTGGATCCTTGAAGCTCTGAGTTTATATGGATTAATCCGATTGTTGTGAAGTTCCTCGAATCATCTATGAAGAAGTGGAATACCGAATTACAGCTGCATCACGCTGAAGGGTGCCTAAAAACTGATAAAATAAGAATCCGCAGAGGGATATTCCAAGGAGACTCCTTGTCACCGCTGCTATTCTGCATCTCCCTGGTTCCACTGACTAACGCTCTGAATTCTGGAAAACTTGGATACGAGGTCAGGCAGGGTTCCTATATAAGTCACCTATTATATATGGATGACCTCAAGTTATTCGCATCCAGCAACAAGCAGCTAGATAGAGAGCTAGACATTGTGAAGCGGTTTAGTGAGGACATATGCATGCAGTTGGCCTGGAAAAATGTAAAAGGATCACGATTACCAGAGGAAAGATCTCAATGAATGTAAACCAAATAACTGAAAATAGTGCAGGATTTGACTACCTTGATCCAAGTGAAACCTAAATATCTTGGCGTACATGAAAGTGACGAGGTACATCATGAATCTATGAAAGAAAATGTGAAGAAGGAATACTATGGTCGGTTAAGGCGAATCTTGAAACAGAACTGAGCGCCGAAAATAAAATAAAGGCAGTCAACAGTCTTGCTGTACCGGTAATGCAGTATAGCTTTGGAATATTGAACTGGAGCGGATCAGACATTGAAAAAATAGATAGAAAAACCAGGAAACTGTTAACCATCTATAAGTTTCATCACCCCAAAGCTGACAAAGACCGACTCTATATTCCAAGGCGCGATGGTGGCAGAGGTTTAATTGAACTCTGCAGTGCCTACAGGATGACAATTGCCGGCCTTTATGAGTATATACTCCATTCCAACGACAAGTTCATCAAGTTAGTGCTATTGCATGAGCGCAACAAAAGGCTAAATACTCCATTACAAAGATCGGGGAAGCCATGAAAAGACAATATGCATACCAATTGAACGAAGATCAGTCAGCGGACAACTTGAAACTCAGAGTAAAGGAGGCCATGCGAACAGAAAAAGTCAACGCCCTAAAATCGAAACCACTCATGGACACATAACCTACACAAAACCAATGTAGATAAACACATGTCCCTGGAGGATGAAAAGTACAGGACTGAAGGCGGAGACTGAAAGTCTACTGATTGCTGCACAGGACCAGGCACTTAACACGCTACCATAGAAGAATGGTCCTGAAACAGAATGTCGACAGCAAATGCAGAATATGCCATCAATGTGAGGAACATATAAGCCACATTATTTCAGGCTGCTCAACACTGGCACCAACAGAATACACCGAAAGGCACAACAACGTCGCTAAATACATACACTGGGCTATCCTCAAGCAGCACCAAGTACCAGTTAGCAACAACTGGTATGATCATTCTCCTGAAGCAGCAGTAGAGACAGACGAAGCATAATTATGTACGACAAAGGAGTCATTACCGACCGTACGATTTCCGCCAACCGACCTGATATTATTTACCATAATAAAACACAGAACACATGCCTGCTAATTGAGGTATCTGTACCAGACGACAACAACGTCAACACCAAAGAAGCGGAAAAGGCCAGAAAATACAAAGACCTCGAAATCGAAATATCGCGCATGTGGAAGACAAAGACAAGAACGATACCCGTGATCATCGGAGCTTTGGGGACTGCCACTATGTCATTCAAGAACAACATAAAAGAACTCCCCGGAGATGTTTTTGCAACACAAGTTCAAAAGATAGCACTGCTAGGAACAGCCCACATCTTGCGGAAAACCCTTTCCGACTAAAGACCTTAGAACTCAGGCAGAGTTCCGGTCAAGCTCATCCCTTCCTCTAGGAGTGAAATTACAGACTAATAATATAATAATAATAATAATACCGTAACGACGTAGACGGTACGCCAGCAACGCAACGTCTGGCCTCGACCAAGTGGTTGAGCTACTGTATTAACACCGAAGGAAAGTCAGTACGGCCAGCACACCTCCTGTTCATCCAGGCGTGATTTTTGTCTCCCTTCCACGCCTGAGTTTTAACACTTTTAGGTAAACAATTACACCTACCTATCAGAAGAGAAACACAATTACCAGAAATGGAGAAAAAACAAAATGAAGCCTCGGAATGTAACGACGTAATCGGGACTCGACGCTATCGACATCCAGCGAAAGCCCCCCACAGATAGTGTGAGAAGTAACTCGAATGACCCCATCCAACAGCTTCCTGGGGTCGAAGATGGCATCATGTTGCTGGAAGCCAAGAGCCCCAGCCCATAATGCCAGACAATAGGATGAGAAAAAGGACCACGTGGACTACCGAAGTGAACAGATTCGTGGTTCGCTCCTACTACAGAATCACTAAACTAGAAACATTCCACAGAGCCCTATGGTACTGAACTACACAAACAAGTTATTATAAATTTCCCTCACCTGCAAGGCAAAACTGTGCAAACGTACTAGACAGCGCCGATCCGTATTCATAAACAACATATTGCCGGCAGAGGAGACAAACAAAATAAGAGAAGAGATATCCATAGAATTAGGAATGCAGGAACAAGCTCCGCAAGACCACACAGAAAACCAAGAACAATTGAGGCAAACGATGGCCAACCCTCTAAATACGCAGATGAGTTCAGGGGCTTGTTCATGAGGTATGATGGTGTGGAGCCAACTCTTAAACCAAGCCTACCAAAGCTAATAATAAAACCCCATACATCTGAGTATATCGCTGAAGTTAACAAAGTAATAGATAACGAGATTACAGAAGATACAACCTTGACTGAGCTCCATAGCCTGTTGTACACTGGAGCACTTACAGTCCTAAAATTAAATGAACAGAGAGATGGCGAAACAATGTGTAGAAAAAACAGAAAACTGCCAGCCTGGGAGATGAGGATATCGCGTAATATAGAGGAGATTGGAAAGACATAGCAATACTCACCCCACTACCGCAGGTCTGAATGTAGTCTGAGAGTAAAGAGATCCGCAGAGAATGTGATAAACCGTCACTGCTCGGAGGAGAACCCAACAGCTGTAGAAGTCTTGGACTGCCTGAAGCAAAAACTAGCAGCTACAGCACTGCGAGTTCGAAGGTACAAGAACAGCAACGAACGCCGGAAACAAAAATCGAGCATTCGAGACCAATCAGCGAGGATTTTACAGGAACTTGCAGGCGCGACGGAGGGATACCAAACAGAACAAACGTTCAGATTCCTACCTCAGATGCCATCAACACCTTCTGGTCAGAAATTTGGAGCAATCCAATCCATCATTCCACATATAAACGGTACCTGCCGAGAGAAAGCAAATAATTCAACTTTTAGGACCATGCTCGACTGGAAGTTAGCTAAGATGACGTGGTAAATACTTTACGAAAATTACCAAACTGGAAAGCCCAGGATCAGATAAGCTTCAGAATTATTGGCTAAAAACGTTCACTTCGGCTCACGGTCGACTCGCAAAGTGCTACACCTCAATCTTAGAGCAGCAGATATGTTTCCAGAGTTCTTAACAATGGGAATAACATATTTAATCCCAAAGTGCGGCGGTCACTCGAAACGATCCCGCAAAATACCGACCAATCACCTGTCTGCCGACTATTTACAGGTATGACTGCTATAATTACTGAAAAGATATATTCACACCTAGAGCGGAAGACTATACTAGACGAAGAGCAAAAAGGTTGCCGAAAAGGTTGTCGAGGCTGTAAAGAGCAACTTGTTATAGACTTTGTCATAACTAATTATGTAAAGAAGAAAAAATATCCCTGTACATTTCATACATCGATTATCAGAAAGCGTTTGACAGTATACCTCACTTGGCTGTTAGAGATGCTTGACCTTTATGGGATCGAGTGCCACATCAAACAATTTCTGGCACATGCTATGGCGAATTGGAAGACACGGCTCTATCTCAACACCCAAGATACGCAATTTAGTGCCGGAGAGGTATCCATCAAGAGAGGAATATTTCAAGGAGACTCTTTAAGTCCGCTATGGTTTTGCTTAGCGCTTAGGACCGTTAACAACAATACTAAATAGCCAAAAGAAAGGAATACTGTTAGTTGGCAATGAAACACGCATTTCACATCTTTGTGGTACATGGATGACCTCAAACTTTTTGCAGAACCAAAGCACATCTTCATAAGCTTCTGGACTGTGTAAGTAAATTCAGCACTGACATCAAGATGCTGTTTGGCTTAGACAAGTGCATGATCAGTTTGCTGGTAAAGGCCAATGGAGTAAGCATTCAGGATATGAGCCGAACCAAGTGCAAGGGAAAATTGAAGGAATGCAGCAAGATGAACAGTATAAATACTTCGGCTATCTACAAGCGCCGGGCAAAGACCAGAAAGCTGCAAAAGAAAAGGCAATGGAGCACTATAGACACACTTTTGAGGGCAGTGCTGAAAACAAGTTTGTCAGCTCGTAATACAGCACTTGCTGTCAGCACCTACGCTACTTCGGTCCTTACCTACAAGGAAAATGAATGGAACGGACGGATACAGAACTGAACGCACTTAATGTGGAAACCAGAAAGAATTCCGTAAACACCGGGGACACCCCCACAAATTTCCATAGAGCGGTTCCATCTACCACGAAGTGAGGGTGGCAGAGGAATACCTTGCATACCTAACTACATCACCGCCAAGTGGACAATCTACGCCAGTACTTCCTCCCAAAAAGCCAACATCCAGCAGAATGCATCAAGCAAATACACACAGACGGATAAAAAGTTGACACAACTAAACCTTTCAGAAACATCTTTCAACCCTGAGGCAAAGATAACCCCAATGCAGGATCTGGTTGGCCAATGGAAAGCCAAACCACTACATGGTCGGTATAGGAGCCGCATAGACGACAACGCCATTGACACGAAGGCTTCCCAAGGATGGTTGCAGTCAGGTAATCTGTTCCTGGAGACGGAGGGCTTCATAGCCTCCATCCAGGATCAGGTAGTCCCAACAAAGTTTGTACCGAAAGCGTATAAAGCATGAGAACGTTGAAGATATCAGATGCAGCATATGTGGGGAAAAAGATGAGCACATAGATGATATTGTAGCAGGCTGATCTCCCTTAGCTCCTAAACAATATCTTGAAAGACACAATGATGTGGCCAAAATACTTTATCAAGCTTTGGCTAAAAAGCATCTAGGAGAAACTGGTACACAGCCCTACTATAAATACACGCCGCCACCTGTGATAGAAACGGAGACCTCTAGGCTGTACTGGAACCGTAAAATCATAACTGACAGGCCCCCAACAATATTCCTAACATAGTGCTCACACTAAAAGAAGAAAGAACGACGTTTATAATAGACATAGCTGTGCCTCTTCCTAATATCCAAACCACCCATGAGGAAAAGATCAATAAGTATTTGCCACTCTCCGACGAAAAAAACGCATGTGGGAAATGGACAATGTGTCTGTAATAAAAGTTATCATAGGAGCTACTGGGGAGATACCAAGGAAACTACACAAGAGTCTGGAAAAGCTACAGCTCCATCCAAAAATATACTTGCAGTTGCAAAAAGCTGCACTGCTGGGAACATGTAGGACAGTACGTAGGGTTTTAGGAGATGAGAACCGGATACGGTGAAAAAACCGCTGCAGATCTATTTCCTTACTTTGGTGGTTAGCCTGAGGGAAATATTAATACCTTCGACAGAGGAGTAAAATAGTATAAAGTATAATAATAATAATAATAATAATAAAATAATATAATAATAATAATAATAAAATAATAATAATAATAATATAATAATAATAATAATATAATAAAATAATAATAATATTAATAATAATATAATAATAATAATAATATTAATAATAACAATAATTATTATTATTATTACCATAATAATAATGATAATAATGATATAATAATAATAATAATAATAGTGGTAAACAGGGCGCAGCAGGTGTAGTGAGGGCTCCTACCCTTCGGAAGCGTCAGGAAGATGAGCCTGTAGCGGGGCCCAGTGGATTGTGTGGCACTGCCTCGCGAAAGGATTCCACACAGAGGCAAGTTCTGGACAAGAGAAGGGATGATACACCGCAACTTCGTGATAGTCACCACACGGAGGAAACTCAAAGTGGACTACTCGAAGTACTGGAAACAAGTATCTCAGCCGAAAAGACCAGGGGTAAAAGAATACCCTGGAGTGAAGAAGAGTTGAGAGAAGTGATGTGGTGTTATCATTACTGTAGGCTTACTGATAGGAATACCTATGTTGCAGTCTATAAGATGTGAAGAAGGCGCAACCCAGACTCCAGACTTAACATCGATGCAAACAAACTGCAAAACCAAAGAAGGTACATCCAACAGAATAAAAGGTTATCAGAAGAAGTCATAAATGAACTGATTGAAAGCAGTAAAGAAACGATCGATAGAGAAAAGACAGTAGACCATCACGATGTCGCACAGGTACCGGAAGAACATTTTGAAGAATCTGACATGCACAAAGAAATAAAGGACAAATATCTAAGCCTGATTGAAAAAAGCGTATCTGAACGTGACTGTCTGCCCATAATATACTAGTAAAAGAGCAAAGAGACTCATCGAGGAAGGCAACTGCATAGTTAGCAACATATTGCAAACACTGGGACAGAAAGACCTAATAAAGATGGATTGCCTCATTTATGGTACAGCATATGTGATTACATCAAAATTAGTAAAACCTACAGCGCGAAAAAGAATAGCTGGGACCCCAAAGCAAACACCTAACTGGCAGAGGCGGCTAAGTAATAAAGTTTTGACCCTCAGGAGAGACTTATCGAATTTAGTTCACATACAAAATGGCAGGCTGTCCGCAGAGTCGGCTAAAGGGAAGATGCTGTTAAACAAATACGTCACAGAAGGAAAAACGCTAATAGAGAAGATAGAGGTAATGAAACAACAAATCTCGGCCACTGCTCAAAGACTCAGAAGGTATAAGAATCGACAAGAGCAGCACAAGCAAAATAGTCTCTTTAATGTCAATCCCAAAGCATTTTATAGGGAGCTGCGAGAAGGAAAAAGGGAACCCATTGAAGCTCCAGCCATCTCTACAACTGAAACGTATTGGAAAAGTATTTTGAGAAAAGTGTTAACCACAACGAGAACGCAAAGTGGCTGAAAAAGGTAGAAGGGGATAGAGCCACAACTATGAGCTGGCAAAATATCAGTGTCGTGGAAGTCAGATCAGCACTGCAGCAGGCCCAAAATTGGAAAGCCCCTGGTATAGGCCAGATACCCAATTTCTGGCTGAAACATCTCGTGTGCACACACGAAACAATAACAATGATATAATAGTTACTTCGATAACGGAACAGATATCCCAAACTGGCTGCCAAAGGGAATAAAACTATCTTCTTACAAAGTCTGGAGATAGTAAGGACCCCAAAAATTACAGGCCTATCACCTGTCTGAATACCTTGTACAAATTGTTAACTAAAGTTGTAGCCAGCAGAATATCTGATTATGTAAATGATAATAAGATAATACCAACTGAACAAAAAGGCTGTGGCAAGGGCTCTCTTGGTTGCAAGGATCAGCTACTCCTCTCGAAAGCCATTGTAGAAGATTGTAAAGAGAACAAAAAAAATCTTAGCATTGGATGGATTGGCATTCGACAGCGTCCCGCACAGCTGGCTCCTGAAATCTCTGAAACTTATAGGAACATCTGAGAAGATCATTGATCTATGTAAGCGATTGATTTCGCTATGGGGTACTACCCTGTTAGTCAGTAATAATGGGGAAGAAATAGAGTTAAGACCCATACAGATAAAAAGAGGTATATATCAAGGTGATACCTTGTCACCTCTTCTGTTTGTCATTGCGATGGTTCCTTTAAGTACGCTGCTCAACGAGGCCAACCTAGGTTACCAACTTAAAGGAGCAAATGATTGTCTCTCCCATTTGCTATATATGGATGACCTAAAGCTCATATCTCCCAGCAAAACAAACTGAATACGTCTCTCAATATTGTAAAAAAATTTAGCGACGACATACAGATGAGCTTCGGTCTCGATAAGTGCGCTGTAGTCACATTCAGGAGAGGAATGCATTATGACTCTGATAATATAATAGTTGATGAAGGAGAGACGATCAAATCACTAGAACATGGCGGGAGTGTACAAGTACCTGTGAATTAAAGAAGGCTCACACATCACCCACGATTCACTGAAAGTTGATATTAGACATGAGTATATAACGAGAGTACGTAAAATTCTGCAAACTCAACTCACGTCTAGAAACAAGATAACAGCAATTGGAGCTCTTGCCATACCAATCATGCAGTACAGCTTTGGTATAATCAATTGGACATTGGATGACATAAGACAAATGGATCGCAAAACAAGAAAACTAATGACAACACATAATATCCCTCATCCCAAAGCAGACATCGACAGATTATACGTGCCACGAAAGAAAGGGGGACGAGGACTAAAGCAAATAGAAGAAACGTACAACAATACTATCTTCTCAGTAGGGCAGTATATTCAAACTAGATCTGAGCAAGACCGCCTACTACAGATGTTACTAGCACATGACAATAGGAAACCAACAAATAGATCTATTGTAAAGCGTAGTAATAAGATCAAATTAGAAGCTGCGGAAGCCGGACATACGGTCGAGCGAGGTAACAGGTCCATCAAACTGTACTTGAAGCAATGTGTCGAAGAGAAATGGCGGAGTAAGCCTCTACACGGACAGCATATCCGTCAAATGGAGGAGCTTCCGGTTGACTTAAGACTGTCATCTGGATGGTTACAGTACGGAGATTTAAAAGGGGAAACGGAAAGCTTGCTGGTGGCAGCACAAGATCAAGCCTTGAAAACGCGTTACATTGAGCAAGCAATACACAAGACGAGGAATGACGGTAAATGCAGATTGTGTCACATTCATAATAAAACTGTTGAACATATAATATCTGCATGTCCAATACTAGCGCCAAAAGAATATACTGACAGGCACAATATTGTCTGCGCAGCCATCCATCTAGAAGTGTCTCGCCACCTTGGTTGTCCAATAAAATCGACGAAATGGTATGAGCATCACCCCGACAGAATAACACGAAGTGAAGATGGTAGTATCACAATAATGTATGACCATCCCGTTATCACGGATAGAGAAATAAAAGCAAACAGACCAGATATTGTTAAAAAACCACCGAAATATGCTATATAATTGATATATCGATACCTGCAGATAGACATGTCATACAAAAGGAGGCTGAAAAGCAACTAAAATACAAATCATTACTCATAGAAGTGCAAAGAATGTGGCATACAAAGGCAGTTGTTATTCCCGTAGTGATTGGTTCAACTGGATATGTCACTCGCAACATCCTAGATAACCTAAAAAGGATACCAGGAGATCATAATTTCTATCAGATTAGGCACATCGCACATAATTAGGAAAGTTATAACATAACCAGCTCATAAAATACAAAGATCTGTACCCCTCAGCGCCTCGGCGAGGACCCGGTGCAGAGGTCAAACCATTCCATATACTAATACTAATAGAAAACGGTCCTGTAGCGGGAAAAAAAAAAGATGAAAAAATAATAATAAGTATAATAAGAATAATAAATATTAAATAAATATGATAACAAAATATAATAAAATAAAATAGTAATAATAATAATATAATTATTAATAATAAAAATAATTAATAATGATAAATAATAATAATAAAAGTTATAAATAATAATAATAATAATAAATAATAAATAATATAATATAGTAATAATAATAATAATAATAATAATAAGAATAATCTAATAAT